GTCACATTCGTAGAACTACAACTTAATAATATTAAAAAAACTGTTAAAAGAAAAAAGAACCTAAGGGGAATCCATTTTACTGAAATTGAAACCAAGAAAACGAAAAATCCCAAGGGAAAAGTACTCTATAACACTGTTACAGTCGGTTTTGTTCTGGTTCTTGTTCTTGGTCCAACCTACCATTTGGTCTCTATAAAACCAGCTTGTTTTTCTTCACGTAGCAATCTCATCCACCTCCGAGTTAAAGACAAAACTCGGAAACGTCGTTGTAATGTCCCTGCAAATTGGATTTTCAAGTCCTGAAACTTATGAAGCGGCACCAAAATTGGTCGAACAATTAGTAAGGAAACATACCTTAGATATGGAAGAGTCATGATTTTAAGCAAAGATGGGTTTTTGATAACGAAATTGCTCCATTCTGTCTTATCAATCTTTCCATCCCGATCCACATCTGCGTCCTCGAATGTCTGTTCACGGAAAGAAAAGGACTTGAGTTTTATAAAAGAGCCTTATCTTTCAAAGAAGTAGTAGTAATAGACAAGAAGTAAACCTGATCGAGTATCATCTCTATTGTATCATCAGCCAGTTTCATTTCAGATTCGCAGAGAAGCGCAATCAACATTTGCTTCACCTGCCAAAAGCACATACACAATTATGATTTCCCAGAAGCGTTTATTCACTAAATGACATGGAATCATTCATTCATGAAAGCTTAACAACATCTATGGAAACTCAACAAGTTGGAACATCGATTGGATCGCAAGGTAAAATATCTTAAAAATGTATACCTCTTGACGTTCAATGAAGCCCGTGCAGTCCATGTCATAAAGCCTAAACGTAACTGAGGTATAAATACAGACCAATGTGAATAAAAAATCATCAGAAGGCTTTAGAGAACTGATGATGATGGATATGAACTCGTTTATGCTTACAGTCTGTTTTCTCCTCTAGAGAAGCATTGGGATGAAAAACATTGAGTGATCTCACAAAATCTCCAAAATCAATTACGCCTTTTCGTTTAACATCAAACAAATCAAATATCTGCAAAAGAGGGCATTACCAATTAAGCACTTCTATAGAACCAATCTTTAAATCAGAGACACTTAAGATTTTACCCTATTGGCAAACAGATTCTCCTTCTTTCTGTTCTTGAACAAAGCAAGTTGAAACTCCTCCTACAAGTTGGTTCATAAAATAAGTAACAATATCCAAAAGTGGACCATGAATAATTCAGTATCCAAAACCAAACCAGACCAATAAAAAGGAAAAAGAATTAAAATTCAAGTCAACTATCAATAAACAAACTTGGAGAGCAATAAGGAGCCCACAGATCAGCATGGAGATTCAATTATTACTTGATAAAAAATTGGTGAAAAGTCAACAAAGTTGACATAATATGGACATAATCGCATTGAATATTATGTGACTGTACATCAAAGCTTTCAAGATCCTCCCATGAGGTGCAAAAACGAATCAATCAGTACCTTGTTTATCAAGCCATCGTCAACAACCGAGCTGCTTATGCTCTTGAATAACTCGTACAATGCTTCAACTTCACTCACACTAACTGGAAAAAACAAAGAAATAACAAGCCGAACAGCGAGATTAAACATATTGCAATTAAAACAATGGAAAAGAGACACTTTAAACAAACAAAAAAACTTTGTCTAATCAAAGATTCAATTCGAAAATGGAAGTAATCAACAGACTGATGATCCAAGAAACTATTGGTATATGATTATGTGATGACTCAAGTAAACAAGAAGCATCCTCGAAATGGAATATATGATTAACTTTAACGAAGTTGTAGATCAAATAGACTATATAAGTAAAAGACCATTATTTTCAGATTTTCGGATTTGATAAACGACCAACATAGCAATAATGAGTTAAATTGTTTTCTCATATCAGGAGACAATGATAAAAGAGCCATTTCTAAACTAAGCTCATCCTTTTGGAGATTTTTAAGTTAAGAAGAAGAAACGTATAGTGCAAGAAAACTTACAAGCAGTCTCAGAAGCTAGCTTCACAGGGTTTTCATGTCCCGGAAATTCTCTCGCAGCCGTGGAATGAAAACAGCCCATTTACAGATTACAAGTAAAACGAACAATCCCC